AGGGGGGGGGGGAAAGGGGGGTGAAAGGGGGGGGGGGGGGGGGCCGCTGTGTGTGCTTGGGAGAGGGGAGGCGGGGAGAACGGAGGGGCCTGGAGAAGGGGGGGAAAGGGTTGTTAGAGGGGTGGCAGGTGGTGGAATCTGAGGGCACCCCCTTCCCCTGCGGCCTGGGGAACGACGCCCCCACCCAGTCAGGCTCGGGGCTGGCCCTCTATGGCTCTGTCAGTCCCCCCTTCCCTCCTCCTCCTCCATCCCCCTCTGATGTCTTCCATGCCCACCCCCTCGGCTCCCAGCTGCACACACAGTCTCCATTAGCTGCCCCCTCCTGTGAGGTGCAAATGTCTGGCTGGAATCAGGCCACCGGGTGACCTCCAGCCTCGGGAGATGACGGCAGGGCACGGGTGTAGCATGGTCCCCGGCCCAGGGAGAGAATAAGGGTCAAGGGTCAGAGGTCCAGAGGCCGGCGAGCTCCAGGGTTCTGTGGACGGGGCTGGTCCGTCCAAGCCAGCCATCACCTCTCCAGGAAAAATTTGAGAGCCCGGTCGATGTTCATGCGGTGGCCCACCCGGGTGACGCCCAGGTCCACGTAGTCCTCCTTGGTCAGGGCGGGCAGGTGCGAGCCATCGATCTCGTGGTCCAGGAAGCGGGCTCGGTGCTCGGCCAAGCCCAGCCACTCGAGCCAATCAGCCACGTCGAACTTGGTCCAGAACCCCAGAGGCTTGGCGCCGAAAGGCTTGTCCGGGGGCAGCGAAAGCAGGCGGGTCGGCGAGAGGGAGCGGGAGGCCCCGGACAAGGCTCCCCCGAGGCCCCCGGACATCCCCGGGTGTGGCGGCACAAAGACGGGGGCGAAGGGGTCGGCCGAGCCTCCGGCCCCTCCAGTGGGAGAGCTGCGGACGTCAAAGATGCCCGGGTACAGGGGTCCAGAAGGCAGGATGGGCAGGGACGAGGGCCGGGGCGCAGGGCTGACCTTGTGCTCCGAAGTGGGCAGCAGCGAGGGGCTGGGGGCCCG